AAACGTGAAAAAACAAGAGTTTATTTTAGCTTAAGCAGTAATTTATATTAGTATGCGTTGTAAGTAATGATATTATGGTAGCGTTCTCTTTAATAATACCATTTGCTTGTTAAATTAAGTGTTGAGATGCTTTCGTATATAATTTATAAAGAGAAAAAATACTACATGAGCTAACTTAATAGTTGGTTACGGTTAGTGAATGACACGGGTAACTAGTGGGACATTTTTTTCAGTTCAGGTCGAGAAAGCTACGCTACAAATTATACTGAGTGGCGATTGTTATAAATGTGAAGGGCTAAATACACCATGTATATAGATTATAGAATTTACGACAACGTTATCCGTTAGTCATTAGATTGTTCTGCTTGCAAATTAAGTTGGCACTGTCCCAGAAATGGATATTTTCAATTTGATCTTCCATATTAATAAGCGAAGCTGTTATACCTACAAAAACAATGGAAGATGAAGTCTTTTATATTCTCAGTAATTTTATAAATATTTACGAACAAACTATTCGATAAAACTAGACTATTATAGCATTCATAATCCTATAAATTATTTCTTGGTGGATTATCACAATGATCAATCAATGTTCCGTTATTGTTTGAAAAAAGAAAAGACTTAAAAATACAACTTTCTATTATCTACTATTCTATACTATTATATTACAGCAATATATTCCAAACTAAATTTTAGTCACGGATACCTGTCTCCTTAAAACAAGCTAGATGCGCTGGTGATATTATTAAGCAGGCGTGTGTGTGCAAACATACATGTACACAAGTGTACTCTATATGCCTTTCACTATCGCAGTCCGATAGGACGGCAGTCCCTGTTATATATAAAGCGCAGAGCCGATGGCTTTTCGTGTTATCTGAGGCACGGAAATATGCCACCGCCAGCTTTGCAACTCCAGGCCTCTACAGACGATTTCACCACAGAAACCCCTTATAACTAATTTGTTTCAATCCAGGTTTCGAACCCAGGTCTGTGGTACATGCTCACCTCTAGAGAATAAGAGGAAGTTACCGAGTTATTTATAATATTAAGTAAGACTAGGTAGTACTTAATCATTTATTTTATTTTGTCTTTTTATTATACCTATAATTAATTATTTTGTCAAGCTAATGATGACGAGTGAGATGAACGTTTTGGTATCACTTAGTTGAAGGATTTGACTCTACACATAAGAACTATCAATTTACAAAGTAAGCTTTAAATTAATTAACAATATAATATAAAGGTTAACCAGCTATACTTTGTACATACATATTAAGTATACATACATATATTGCTACGCTTTATAGCTCATATTGTACAACGGAATCTATAATTATACTACAATTTGTATTAAATATTCTACTCTTCGGCAGTAATTATTAATATCATTTCCGATAAAATATTTTCGCCAGCGTCTACATACTCATAAGTGGACACAATTCCATAAAATCTATGTTCATTCATTTTAAAATGCGCCGCGGAAAGGAAGTGATTATTTTAATGGTGGGAAGTCATAAAAAATGTTGATGTTGGTTTCGTCATTATTATGATGGACATAAAATTATTTTTCTGATAAAAAATAGTAACAAATGTAGGTGAAGTGCCAGCGAAAAGATATTTAGGAAAATAAATGGTTTACCGTTTATTGTATAAATTACAAGGTTTTTATAACACCACTGGGAAATGCTACAAGCTAAGGCATTAAAATGGTTTTATTATATAAAAAAAATCATTTTTAATACAAAAAACATTCAGATTCTATTTGATGGTATTTATCTATACATATAATAAAATTGTAACTGAGGTGGATCTATACATTAAATATTTTTTGGAAAATCGTTTTTAGAATTTTTGTTTATCTGTCTGTCTGTCTGCGACCGGATCATGGAAAATCCACTGGAGGGATTTTGATGAAATTTGGTATGATGTTAGCTGGTTATCTGGGTTAACATATAGGATACTTTTTACTGCGGGAAAATATCTCATTTCTGAGAAATCTATAGGTACTAAACGTTAAAACATAAGTAGGGATGAATCCGAGCGTAGCGAGGGTGAGTCGCTAGTTTTAAATATAGTATGTAAATAAAAAAATACTATTTCTCTAGATCTATTAATCCTTCAAAAGATTCTCAGAGGAAGAGCGATATACTCGTGATTGACTCCATTATTTTCAATTGTAAGTTATTATTACGCCTATTATACGTAGCCTGCAGAAAAATATATAATATTAATTTTTAAAAACCTCCGAATTAAAAAAAACCATTTCAATGTCTAATTAAATTTTTTATATTATACAATAAATTTTTTACTAACAAATAAACAACTTTTTCGAGATTTCATGTTTGAATAAGTCTTTAATCGGTTCTTGATTTTACATATACGATTGTAGACCATTGCATTTAAAGACACACTTTTTTGTAACTCATATTGTAACAGCAAAGCGTTGATTTGTCGTTCTTTCTTTTTTTGCTTCCCACAGTTTTTGTAATATTATCACAGCTAAATTGACAGAGTGATCGCTATCATATTTGACATAACATTGGATATTTTTATTTCAGAAATCAAAAAGGTTACCTCTACATGATAAATCTATTAGAAAACTACTCAAAGTATAACACAACAAAAACTACTTAATACTATTTTTGCGTAAATTAGCAGTTATTCTCTAATACTTGAGTTTAAAATTTGTTTTTCATTAGAATCAAATTTGTACGAAAATACTAATACAATAGTATTATATTATTTAATAATAAGGAACTAAAATAGCCAAAATTTTGAAAGAGCCATCGTGGGAAGAGGGTAGATGTTTCTCGTCTTCAACCTAAAACGTCTTTAAACATACTGCGTTTGATGTGTTTTTTAATTATTAAAGTTATATATATAGCAAAATATTATAACATTTTCGAATAAAAACAAGGTACTGTTAACGATAGGATTATGAAGAACAGGGTAAGGGACCCAAAGAAGTTTTTAAAAATTCAGCATTTATGTTTTTACTTAAAACAAAGGTTGGCAACTGTGCTGGCCGTAGCGTGATGGGTCCATCGGGAAACCGGTTGGAACACCTAAAAACTTTTAGACGTTTTCTGATATTTTTTTGCTTAAAAAATACAATTTTAAAATAAACGTTAAAGGAAAAAATATGTAGAGAATATTATAATATGGCTAAGCTGATGCTAATAAAAGAATAATAAATAATAAATTTTATATTGTGTATATTTTAAACTAATGAAGCTGTAAAAAAGAGAAATAAATAATATCCAACAAAAGTAAATTCATTATGAACATTCTGTATCTATCCGTTTATAAATGGTAAAATATAAATTTAGCTTTCAAAATAAAGCTTGTCTCATTCAAGAGGTCTGATTGTGTAATCTCCGACCGTCCAGAACACAATAATCGTCGCATTATTGCTCAGCGCCAGTTCGGTCGCAGATAAATCCTTGTAAACAAAATTGTAACTGTCATCGATATCCTTCTTTATGATTTCAACGTTCAAGGAAACGTGGAATTCAAATCGTATGAAATGGAACCTTTTCACACATAGAGCTGTGTAAGTACGTGCCTAATATATACGAGTATATTGTATGTGTAATCTCAAAGCAGTTAAAAGCTTTTTAACGTACGAGCCCATTGGACAATGACTTTGACGGAGCGTTATTATGTTTTATTCTCCCTCTCGACACCTTATTATTTTTATACTTTTTCTTTATAGGAGGTTATCGGCTATAAAAAACGAAATGTTTCTTGCTTGATTGAACCCTCGTGAAGCGCGTATTTTATTTCTTTATATAACTTAGCAATATATTGTGACATTCTAAAGATTAAAACACGGTGTAGTAATATGACTAAATGCACTTTATAGAATGTATTTTATTAACAATTTTGCAATCTTGGTGGCATTTAATAATACTGTCTAAACTCATAAACCTGGTAATATTAGAGTGGTTTACAATGATAGGGTGATAAGTGGGTGTGATAAATTGATGGCTCATTTTATAATAGAGCGTGCGGTGTTACAAAGCAGGAAAGCGGGGTTTATGGCTAATATGGTGCACAAGCAGCTCACGGCAAGGAACTTAGTTGCATTTTGCATAAAATCAATAGTCTTGTAGAGGTCTTATAATAATAAATGTGTCTGGGGTGAGTTTTCATTGGTCTACTACTAATAATAAAGATTGTAATGAGTTTTATAAAAGGAAATAAAATATCACTTTAGTATTTCAAAATGTTTACATAGTAATTTAGGAATGAAATAGTCAGCTTGAGTTAGAACACCCAGATTTTTTTTTTACAATATAATGCTCTCTTACAAATAAATATTATAAGTAATAACGGAAAACAAACAACAACAACACATTAAAAGAAAGAAACTTGAGAAATCATTATCATTACAAATATAAAAATCTCCATACTTAGAAAATGAACGGAAAAAATAATAGGCGATCATTTATAAAGATTTATAGGACATTAAATAATGTCTCTCATTAAAACGGTCGAACACAAGTATATTTAAATTTTACATTTACCTTGTTTTATTTACGTATTTTCGTTTCTGTTCAGAGATCCGTTTTAGAATTTTCGAGTCCTTGGTAAAAATTTTCAAATGAGTGCACCTCAAAGAGTTTACGACTGATACGAGAGCTACCCATGTTGGGCGTACCAAAACGTCAGTTAAAAAGTTGTATAAAAAACGTTAGTTGCTAGAGCGAAGCCACGACAGGCGTCCGTCCCTCGATGTATTGTATTGTTAGTAATAGTCATTTTTAAAAGGTGCAAGCGTAAGTAGCCAATTACAGACGGGTTCTTTTTCGAGTGTTTTGGATTGTTTTTTGATTGGCTTTGACTATTGGACTTCGATTCTTGCACTACATGTTTTGACTTTTGGCTTTTCTCACGGATTTTAGGATTTTTTGATTTGGTTTGGATTTTTGTTGTTTTTGGCGACATTTGTCGCGTCGTTTGTGTGTGTGCGAGTGTGTGCGGTTGGCGAATGAGTCATGGCTGACTCAGACGCCAGCGCGGACACAGATGCGTCCATTGGGCGCAAGAGAACGGCTGCGCGTCCTCCGTTAGCGGGCTCTACAGGCTCGGAAACGGAGACCGACGAGCGAGTACGCGCGAAGGAAAATAAGGCGCGAAGGGGGAGGCCCATTGGATCTGGGAGGGGGACGGTCTTGACCCGTGCGCGCGCACAATTGCGCAATATGGAGGCTGAGGCCAGAGAGCGGGAGTTTGAGCGCGCGCTTGAGGCGCGCGCTTTTCGGAAGAAGCCTGAAAAGGCGGATAAGGCGGGGAAGGCCGTTTTCGAGTTCGGCTCGGATTTGTCGGCCTCTGAGAGCCGGAAAGAAGGCATCTCTGCTAGAGATGTGCAGGGTCTGAGAGCGGAAGCAGGACGCAGCGTGACGGAGATTCTCCATGTTGCCAGGACCTCTGGCAACCTGAAGGGGGAATATGTCCGCCGTCTGAAGCTGGCTGCTGAGGCCCTGACGGGGATAGTGGACGCCCTGGCGGATCGCTCCTCGAATGAGGAGACGAGGAAGGTGGCTGCCGACAATGAGCGGCTGCGCAAGGAGGTGGAGAACCTGAAGGCGGAGGTTAAGGCGCACCGTCGACAGTTCTCGGAGATGAGGGCGAGTGCGCCGTCCTCCTCCCTGCAGGGGGATGTTTTAGAGGAGTTGAGGGCCTCTCTTATCTCCTCGGTTGGGGCCCTCATGGATGCCAAACTGGCCGGCATTGAGGAACGCCTGCTGCCGGCCAGGTCGCATCGTCCGCCTCTGGCAGCGGACAGAAGAAAGGAGACAGGTGCATCTGCACCTAAGCCTGCGCCGAGGGTGCCTCAGAGCACGCCAGCACCGGTAGCGGCTGTGGCGGGCGAGGGTTCGGCGACGCGCAGGCGTCAGCCCAATGTGGATGGGACGGCAGCCCCGGTGCGCCCTAGGTCGGAACCAGCTCCACCAGCCCCTGTGGCGGGACCAGCTCCTCCGGCCCCTGTGGCAGGACCGAGTACTGCCGGTGATGACACGTGGGCGACGGTGGTCCGCAAGGGCAAGGGAAAGGGGAAGAAGTCCTCCCCCCCTGCGGCCCCGGTTGCCCCGGCTGGCGCAAAGTCGGCGCCAAAGGCCTCTTCGGGCCCAAAGGCGCCTGTGGTGCAAAAGGCCCCTTCGGCGCCGGCTAAGCCCAAGGTTTCGGCCCCGCCGCGTACAGCGGCGGTTATTATAACGCTCCAGCAGGAGGCGGCGGCTAAGGGCGTCACCTACGCCAAGCTGCTGGAGCGCGCGCGGCAGGGCGTTGACCTGGCCCAGTTGGGAGTCACGGGGGGGCTGACGGTCAGGGTTGCGGCAACGGGGGCACGTTTGCTGGAGCTCGAAGCCTCGGCGTCACCGGAGACAGCGGACAGGCTGGCGGAGAAGCTCCGCCAGGTTTTGGATGGGGTGGCGACCATTGCGCGCCCCACCAAAACGGGAGAGTTGAGGGTGTGGGGCCTCGACGACTCGGTCACCAAGGAGGCGGTGGCCGAGGCGGTCGCAAGGGCGGGCGGCTGCTCATCAGAGGCCGTCTGGGTGAGCCGGGTCCACACCGGGAAAGGGGGGATGGGCACGGCTGTCGTAAGGTGCCCAGTTACGGCAGCTAAAAAAGTGGCCGACGCAAGCCGACTCCTGGTCGGGTGGTCGTCGGCCAAGGTCGAGGTTCTGGAGCAGCGCCCATTACGCTGCTTCAGATGCATGGGTTTGGGTCATACTCTACCTCGGTGCCCGTCGAGGGTGGAGCGGGGGCGCCTGTGTTTCCGGTGCGGCAGCGATGAGCACCATTCCGCTGCCTGCACCGCGAAGGCAGTCCGCTGCGCGGTCTGCGCAGATGCCGGGCGCCCCTCTGGGCATATGATGGGTGGGCGAGACTGCAACCCACCCATCACGAAAGGCAAGACGGCTCTAGGGACCGGAGCTGTCGTCAGTGCCGGAAGCCGCCAGGCTGAGGAAGCGCATATGTCGTCATAATGGGTGACGACAAGCGCTTCCTACAAGGGAATCTGAACCACTCGGCCGGAGCGCAGGACCTTTTCCTGCAGTCCATGGCCGAGTGGGAGATAGGTCTGGCGGTGGCCTGTGAGCCCTACTTTGTTCCTCACCGACCGAACTGGGTGGGGGACTTAGAGGGCTCCGTGGCCATAGTGTCTGGGAGCAGCACCGGCCCCCGTCTCTCGGCAATCGAGAGGGGCCAAGGACTTGTCGTGGCAGGGTGGGGAGAGTACGCGGTGGTCGCCGTGTACTTCTCCCCCAACCGCAGTCTGGCGGAGTTCGAGATCTTCCTCGACTCCGTCCGCGCTGCGGTTTGCAGGCAGTCGCCGAGGCCCACTATCGTCCTCGGCGACTTTAATGCCAAGTCCTTGGCCTGGGGGAATCCCACGTCGAACGCTCGAGGGCGAGCCGTTCAGACGTGGGCCCTACTCTCCGGTCTGTCCCTACTCAATGTGGGGACAGCGTTCACGTGCGTGCGACAGCAGGGGGGGTCCGTGGTGGACCTAACGTTCGCCACCCCCGCCGTCGCACGCAGGGTGATCAACTGGAGGGTAGAGGAGGAGGTGGAGACTCTGTCGGATCATAATTATATCCGATTTGAGATCTCCACCCGTCCGGTGCCGGTGGACCGCCCAAGGGGGCCCTCTCGAGCGTTCCCGAGATGGGCCCTGGGCCGGCTTGATACTGAGCTGGCCAAGGAGGCGGCCATCGTAGAAGCATGGTGCTCCCAGGGGAGTGTGGTGGGCGCCAGCTCCAATGTTGAGGAGCTGGCTGGCCGCATGTGCGACGCCCTTACGAGGGTGTGCAATGCGGCCATGCCGCGGATCAGGCGGATCGACCGGCGTCGCCGGTCTGTGTATTGGTGGTCGCCCGAAATCGCACAGCTTCGGGCGACCTGTAATTGGCATAGACGGAGGTTTGTCCGGTGTCGCAGGAGGAATGGCCTGGACCCGGTTTTGGAGAGCGAGCTGCGGGCGGCCTACAGGTCAGCCAAAAAGGCCCTGCAGCTCGCCATCAGCCAGGCCAAGGCGGCGGCCCGCCAGGAAATGCTGGCGGGCCTGGATCGGGATCCATGGGGGCGCCCTTACATCAGCGCGCGGAACAAGCTCCGCGCGCATGGCGCCCCGGTCACGGAGACCACGCCGCCCGAGGTCCTCCTGCGACTGATCGGAGGGTTGTTCCCGGAGTCGTCTGGGCACGTCCCCCCGGTGATGGCTCCTCCCACACGCTCTGTGGGAGTGGAGGAATTCCCCCCAATCACCGAGGGGGAGATGGAATTGGCCTGCGATAAACTGCGGGCCAAACGGACGGCTCCGGGACCGGACGGTATTCCGGGGCGAGTTCTGTGCATCGCCCTGGAATACCTGGGAGGGGATCTTCGGGACCTCTTCAACGCTTGTCTTCGCGTTGGGCAGTTCCCGAAGATCTGGAAGGAGGGGTTGCTGTGCCTGTTGCCCAAGGAGGGTCGTCCTCTGGACTCCCCTTCGGCATACAGGCCGATCGTGATGCTGAGTGAGATGGGCAAGCTCTTCGAGAGAATTCTCGTTGCCCGTCTTACTCAGCATCTCGAGGAGGTGGGGCCGGGCCTTTCGGAGGCTCAGTTCGGGTTCAGGGCGGGTCGGTCGACCGTGGACGCCCTGAACGCCCTGAAGGTTCGGTCCTTGGCCGCGGTGGAGGAGGGAGGCGTGCTGTTAGCCGTCTCATTGGATGTGGCCAACGCCTTCAACACCCTGCCGTTCGAGACGCTACGAGAGGCACTTCGGTACCATGGGGTGCCTCTCTATCTCCGGCGGGTGTTGGACGCGTACCTCCGCGACAGACAGGTTGTGTGGACGGGGGCAGATGGGGTGGTCGGTCGTCGACGTGTCGACTGCGGGGTTCCACAAGGGGCCGTTTTGGGCCCGGTACTGTGGAACCTCGGCTATGACTGGCTCCTGCGTTGTCCGCTTCTCCCCGGGCTTGGTGTCATCGCCTACGCTGATGACACCCTCGTCACAGCCCGGGGGCGTTCTTACGAGGAGGCGGCACGCTTGGCCACAGTCGGCACCAACCTGGTCGCCGACCGGATAGGGATGCTGGGCCTGAGGGTCTCCGTCTCCAAAACGGAGGCCCTCCTGTTTCATGGCCCACGCAGGGGTGCCCCCCGCAACGCCTGTCTGCGAGTCCAGGGTAGGATGGTGGAGGTTCGGGCCCATATGCGCTACTTGGGCCTGACCCTGGACGGACGCTGGACGTTTCGTGTCCATTTCGCCCAGCTCACCCCGAGACTGATCGGCGCCGCCTCGGCCCTCGGCAGACTTCTGCCGAATGTCGGGGGCCCTGGATCTCACTGCCGGCGGCTCTATGCCGGCATCGTGAGGTCCATGGCACTGTACGGTGCCCCCGTTTGGATGGACGCCCTCTCCGCACAGAACAGGGCCCAACTGCGCAAGGCGCAACGGGTCCTGGCGGTGAGGGCGATACGGGGATACCGTACGGTGTCCTTCACGGCGGCGACACTTCTGGCGGGCGATCCGCCCTGGGAACTCCAGGCGGAGGTGCTCGCCGAAGTCTATCGGTTTCGGGCGAGTGAGCGGGCGCGAGGGGAACGTCCAGCGCGGGAGGGAGTCGCTCGGATCAGGCGCCTAGCTGACGAGGCACTGATCCGGCGCTGGTGGGAAGACCTGGGGACTCCAGCGGCTGGCCGGGCGACGGTGGGGGCGGTTCGTCCGTTCCTGTCTCGCTGGGTCAGGCGGCCACACGGCGTCCTGACGTTCAGGTTGACGCAGATGCTTACCGGGCACGGGTGCTTTGGTAAGTATCTGTGTCAAATTGCGCGTCGGGAACCGTTGCCCGTATGCCACGAGTGTGGTGCGTCCGAGGACACCTCGCACCACACCCTCGCGGTATGCGCCGCTTGGGCTCCCCAGCGCCATGCCCTGATGGCGGTAGTGGGTGGAGACCTGTCGTTGCGAAGCGTGGTGGGGGCCATGCTACGCGACGAGAGGTCCTGGTCGGCGATGGTCTCCTTCAGCGAGGCCGTCATCTCACTGAAGGAGACGGCGGAGAGGGAACGCGAGGCTAACGCCTTAGCAGACCCTCTTCGTCGCCGTCGGCTGGGGGAGAGGAGGCGCCGGTACGCGCATCTTCTCCCGCCACCCTAGAGGAGCTACTGCGGGGGGGTCTCTCGTTGACTCCCCTGCACGTCATCGGGGCGGTTGGGATGCCCTGCGAACCGAGGGCATCCTGATTTAGGCGAGGCAGGCCCGCGGGGTACGGGCCGTCCGCAGGGGTGTTGCAGTGAATGCGCAAGCGATCCTGCACACCCCATTGCACTGCGGCGACGGGTTCCGCTGTGGGTTTTAGTGAGTAGGAGTCTCACAGTACCCTACCCATTGACGGCCGGTAGGGTCCCCATGATGGGTTTCCCCAGCGATAACAAAAAAAAAAAAAAAAAAAAAAAAGGCGTCCGTCCCTCGGGCGGCGGCTGTCATCGCATGCAGTTATGAATAGAACTCGACGATGCCTCTTCTAAATTTAAAAACTGGCAAAGCTATATTCAAGCTCGTCAGTTCTCCTGACTTGGCATAAGTGCATTAAGGCTTCAGTGCAGTCAGTCGAGCGTCCAGGTACCCCGCCTATTATTTTATGCAAAACAACCCAACCTCCACCAGGAATAAATGTGTAATAATTTTGGAAACAATAGAGCTTGCAGCCCGACGTCTCATATTTTCTGGAAGCCGGCAATGCACGAGTATCATCGAGATACGACAGATAAGAAATGAAACTTTTAAAGTGTTAGTTTCTATTATCACAAGTAGGTCGCGGGAATAGTTTGCGCACTATAATAAGACGCCTTGAGGGTGTTTGTCATTGCTTTTCTTTAAATGAGTTTACTTGTGGTGAATATTTAAAATGTTTTTTTTTTGAATTTCTTATTCTACTCTTATTCACTTGAACATCGTTAATATATATGCGTCATAATTTTCTCAAATATTAATTATTATAATTATCAATAAGTTCTCAGAGAAGTGGTTATAAATTATAAACGACAAATTTTATATAAAATTTATTTATTTCATAACTTTACAGAAACAGCTAACGATCACTATAATTACGTAGTCATCAGTTTCAACAAGTGAATGGTATCTCCGGGATATGTATTGCTAGGATGGGAAATCCATATTTAAAGGTTATCTACTTATTATACCTATGGTATTTTAAATACAACATCTATGAGTTATTTATTTTGATATTTTTTCAGTTTATCAAACATATTATTGAATTTTACATACATTTTTATAATAAAATAAGAACGCTGCCTATAAAATAAGGTACATGATTTATAATTTAATGACAAAATATTATATTAATTTATTTAAATGAAGACTCTACCGCATTTTGTCCATCTTCATATAATTTGTTTTTGACTACAAAATATTTTAAATATATTAGTACAGTTGTTAGAAACAGAATCAGTAAATGACAATATATACTCTAAGACTAGGCAATAAGGAATTTGAATGCACATCTAGCTGGACATTTCAACATTGCATTACAATATTCACTGTACGTATACAATAAGACTGTACAATGTACATACAACTAATACTGTTACTAAGTATTTATATTACAAAGCACGCCGTATTGTCTTTATTACCAAATGAAATATATTACTGGTTATATACAACACAATAGTTCATACAATGTCTTCGTAGATTTATATATGTACATAATATGTACACACTTCACATGGTTTTCAACAGATCGCCATTTTTATTATTGACTTTTGATTAAAAACAATTGTTTACACTTTTGAAACTTATTTTCATAGCGAATAAGTAATGTTATAAGCATACAACAAACTACTCGTAATGACATTTAAAAAGTCACATTCAATACACATTTGATTTCGTTCTGGATCAATTTTATCATCATAGATTTTTATTAGACTGATATAAAGCTATTGAATTTAAAGATTCAACAGTCAACACCAAACTTGCTAATTTAAATGCGGAATTTTCTTAGATGTATATTTTAACAGTATGTTTAAGTTTTATATTTGAACACTTACAAAGTTAAACTCGCTTTGCTTTAAAAATCAAATATGAGGGCAATTAGTAAATACTGAAAATTTTCAATTTACGTTATAAACTTTATAGAAGTTCCACACTGAATAATTAATATGTATGATCAATAAAGCCATTAAGTCGGTATCATAGGTCCAATGAATGTTATTACATCATAATACGAATAATAATAATAAAGATTTCTGACGAAAATAATAGAGTTTAAATTTAATTTTTAGTACATAATATAATTGATAACTATATTTATATGATATAAAATAAATAATATTTAAAAATTGATATGTACACCTGGCTTACAAATAGGAAAATTTCGATCAGATCAGATATGGCACAATTACCGTAAAGTCTATCAGTCTTTTACAAAGATACGAATCGATTCACATCTACATTTAATAGATTCTATTTTTTTTAATTTTCTGAAAAATATAGCAAAACATATTAAAAAGCTTTTTTCGTATTCTACTAAAAAAGCATGATCCTAAAATAAAATAAACTCAGAGAATAATAATTTCAAACTATAATTTTAATTCTACAATTTGCTTCGTTGAAATGCGTTTTAAGTTATAATAGTTATTCCCTAATAAATTAATTTTACTTGTCTCCAAAAATTACAAGTCGTAAAAGTATAACTCACAAAACATCGAACGAAAACTACACATTTATTTAAGTAATTATTTACATTACAACGACTATTAATAACGTTTATATTAGATAACGTGAGTTCGCTAAAACACTTTCACAGTTAATTGGCACTACGAAAGTTCGAAGTTTTCAACAATGTGTCAGCTAAGAAGTGCCATGGTGAGTGCACTGTACACGATGCCATGGATCGTTGAAGAACTCGAAGATTGTGTCGATTCATAATCTGTAGCAAAGGTGCCTTACATTTACAACACGTCAATTGCAAAAAAAATACCTAAGATTTCATTCAATTTCCGTTAAATTCGCTTTATTATGACAAGAAATACGATTAATAGGATTATTCTATAATAATATTTCCCGCAAATAATAATATGTATTTGATCATTTGATGCTTTTCACTATAAAATTTACTAATAAAACTATCAATATTGATAAAATAGCAGGGATATTTAGGTGCCTCCATTATGGAAAAATATGAAAATTAATAATAAATTCATGATGCAATTATTTCTGTGATAAATTATTTTTGGCGCGGTTTACCAAACGTAATGTAATATTGAATATAAATTATATTTATGTAGGATGAACAACTTACCGATATCTTTCCATTCTTCAACTTCATAATCTCCAATTACTCTGTTTTCAGCTGAGCTGTCCCGCCAACGATTCTTAAGTTTACCTTGAAAATATAATGAAAATTTTAAAGAATAGAAATATTTCATAACGATAAAATTTGGAAAGTTCCACTATAATAAAATTTGAACGGCTTTCGTGTTAAAATAGAATATATGACGTCGTAAATGTATAGGAAAGGCCAAATTTGTAACAATAAAAACGTATATTGAAAGTCAAAGAGCAAACAAAATCGCTTTTCCCACAATAATATTACTAACGATCCAATTGTACGCAAGCATTGGGCTCCGGTGGCGAAGCTAATAAATACAGAATCCACCAGTGACCTTTCTCAATCGGCAGCTACTGGTGGACGATGAATGTATAAAAGGCACGTGAGGCATCAGAACTTTTCATAGTATTACTCTTCTAATTGTTGTTTACGTAGGTTTATTGAATTTTCAAATTTTCCAATAAGCAGTTGAACTGAGGATCGAGACGAACATAAAAAATTAATTTCGGAATCACCAAACTCGAAAGGGTTTCATTGGTATCTGCCTGCTTAAATATTCATAAAACGAATATTCTACGTTATTCCGGTGTTATCGCATTGATTTAGTATAATGAATACATTTTATTATCATTATACTCACCTTTCTTTCTCTGAGGAAATGTTGGAATGTAATTAATCGTAGTACTTGTTGTTGATGGAGCTGGTATTTCTGTATGGAATGACAAAAATGTTTACTGACTTATTGACTGGTGTTATATACATAATTGCATGTTTTGTTGTTGAAAAAAAAAATGGTAATAAAACAAATGAATATACCTTTTATAACATTGAAAAATATCGTATATTATTTAGTTTATATATATGGTTAAAATTCTTACCGTCGAGTCTAATAAGACCATCCGTCTCACCGAGAGAGTTCTTAGCTACACAACGGTAAGATGAGAAGTCTCTGGACGATACTTTGCGTATAGTAAGCTTCATTTTTCGACTGTAACCGTCATCGCTTAAGATAGTAACGTACTTGTTGCCTACAAGTAAAAGACATTATTTGTATAAAGTTAAATATTATAACATTTAAAGTTTTTATTTTGAATACCACTATTCTATACTGATATAATAATGAGATACATATTATCATATCTCAAATGTAAGAAAAAAGTTAGATTTTTATATAAATTACTTCTCACATCAATCAAATTTTTCTTATGCCTGGTGCCAAATAAATAATGTAACGCAAAAAATTAGTACTTTAACATAAATATTTATAATTAAATATTATATTATATCCATTGTAAACAAAAACAACATTAATTAAGTTTACGTAGAATCATACATTCAATTCATTAATAATTATGCTCACATTTAATTAAGTAAGGTAATTGCTAATGCTTCCGAAATTTGATACTAACCAGATATGATCATATCACCACGGTCAGTCGTCCAGTAGTTAATAGAGGATGGGTAGGCTTCAGTGTGGCACTCCAGCGTTACGTCCTGCCCTACATATGCAGCTTCCAACTGATTCGGAATCGATAACATCGGCGGGACTGCATACAAACATGACATTCCAATATCAATATTTTCGACCGAAAGTGCCACTATATAACTTTATTGGTAAAATATTTTATTGATAAAATATTATCTAAACTTATTTTTAAATGTACTATACGTTTACACTTGAACAAATGATACATTAAATAAGCATGTGTACTTTAAATGATTAACTTCGTTTATCAGCGATTCCTTAAAGATGTAAACTCCGCTGTTATAATGAAATCAGACGATGAATTCATAAGGAAGTTTCATCGGTTAATCGAGTGAAAGTTACGTGAACATTTTACGTATCTCATAAGAAATGTAGAGCTATGAATGTGCTGAGATACGGAATGTGAATAGGGGTTAGGAAATAGTCTCATTGGTTTTCGGGCCAAGATACGGCAGAGGTAACGGTGTAGGCGCGGAGAACAGATAGTCATTAGGTACTGCGTCCGTGTCGTATTCACGTCAGCATAATGCTCTAATTGGCGCAATTACCCCCTCATTCCAGCGAAAGGCTCTGTCAGGTAGACACATCGTTTCCTCGTAAATACTCGCTAACAATTCTCGCCTCCAGAAAAATAACATTTCTGAACGCTTACTGTGACTGAAAGGACGCGAAAATCTTCACGTAAAAACGAAAAAAATGTGAGTGAGTTAACATGACAAGTTAGACACATTTGCCTTTTTAATTTATGGGCAAGTTTTATCGGTATATTTAAAAAATATATATACATTATACATATATATGCCATCCTGCAACTATATCATTTTTATCCGATTTTAAAAAAGGAGGAAGTATCATATAATAATATATTCTGAAATGTACTGTGAGGACTAGTATATATTTTTAATGTATGTTAACCTATTTTTAAGAAGACGAAAAATAAGTCCACTCAGTTATTTTTTACTAAATGGCTTTGGTCGGTCGTTGATTTACATTTTTTTGTGATTTTGTTGGAAATAAATGGTGGTTTAAATATATTACAAAATAATCAAAATAAGGTTCATAAGTTTGTAGAAACTAAGTAAAGGTATAGAAAATTCTCGTAATAAATACGATATGTATAGTACGTTTCTGTCATTTTAATTCGAGAGATCATGACATGTTGTTAGGCTATATGATAAACTGTTATTGAAGCTTAATTAGAGACCAAAATTAAACAATACGCTTTTCGATAGTTGAACAGAGAATATTTTTAGATCGCGTCATTGAAATTTATTATAATAACTTATTAGTTAAAGCTTAATTCAATCAAATAAAGAGGTAATCTTAAAATTGAACCCTTTCTCCTGCCTCTTCCCTTCATCAATCATCAAATACTTTCCAGAATTTAATCCTACAGGTGACATTTTTAGATGGTGCAGTTAATACTAGGTATATTTATTTTTTCAAAAATAGTCAGTTTGATTTCCGGCTACTAAAGTTATTTTTTTATTTTACATTACAATTATAGTTTACATCAAAATCATCACATTTGGTCTTGTGTATTCTTCGCTATTCTCTATAGTCACTCACGGCTTTCTGTGTTTTTTGAGTATGTGTATAATTAGTTTGATATTGATGATTATAATTTTAACACTTACAATGATCAAAGTATAATAAATACATGTATATAATTTTATATACAAATATCAACCTTCTACATAGTTCAAATAAAAAAGTGAAAATAATAAGTCTACTTACATTGCACCATTAATACGACTCGCTTGCTAATTGAAGGCGGAACGCCGTTTGAAGCTATACATAAGTATGCTCCCATGTGAAGGCGCGATACTTTGGATATAGTCAGATTCTCACCATCTACTACGTTAACTGTAAAACAATGTTAAAATTTACTAAGAATAAATGCGTAATAGCACCTGATTATTCCGGCCACACTTAGTTACAAACTGAATAGTAAACAATTTATTGGCCTATAGCTATCAAAGAACATCGTAGTGATTGGTGTCTTTACAAATTCAAATTAGAAATAATAAGATCCTTCACAGTAACATAAGCTGTAATATCGCCCTCTCAATTTAATCTTGTAAATATTTCGGCTATGCGAAGATTGTACAATTTGGTATTGCACGAAACAATTGGTTCAAGTTGTCATTTCGTAGGAAGGTCGCTCGATGTCCCGAACCATTGGATACAGACATTTACCTAAACTCGCAAGGAAATTTGAAACTCGTTTCTTACAGGAATTCAAGTTATTCCAGAGGATCTTTTAAGGTATTTCGTTTATTTCATCGAAAATTCATGGTTAGACCGAGTCTTTTCAAGTGGTCCGCTCCTTTACGTGTTTTTCGAGTTTGTATATTTTCGGTTGTTTATTCTCTCTCTGTTTTGCTTTGCGAATGTGTCGACGTTATGATTGATAGAAAATGTTATAGATATAAGGATTATTTTTTTAGAATCATTTTTATTTTAGATACACTAAAAAAGAAATTCTAATTTGTTTAAAAAAATATTATTGATTGTTACTTACCGGATTCCCCATTGCAATTGAATTCCTGACCATCTTCTCGTCTCCACATTACGTAAGGTTCAGGGTAACCCGTGGCTCGACAAACCATTGTGACGTTAGTGCCTTCCCGAACCACCATATCAGTTGATGTCATATTGTCGATAATCATTGGTGGAACTAAAAATTTTAATCGATTTTGTTTCAAAGCATGTATATTAGTATAAATCGAACGTATAGGTATATTTTTAATGCTAATTGAGTGCGTATACAAACCTACGACTTGAAGATATCCTTTTCTAGAGCGCATGGGATCTGTATTGACTTGACACATATACCAACCGCGGTCCACTTCCTGAACGTTTTTTATATGGAGATACCACGATCGATGATCGTTGTATGATAGGCTTATGCGGGGATTTTGAGTTATGATGTTGTGATGGATGCTCAGGATTGTTTGGGTATCCACTCTAACCCATGCTACCTGTGTGGCAATACAAATATATTGTAATATTTCTTTTTAAAATTGTCGCTACAACTTTATAGTCTGCCATTGTGGTTATTGCGCTTTTTAGATTGGTTTATGTTTACGTTAGTTTATATGCAAATTATCCTAAGTGCTACTCATAAAATATTTTATATTTAATTCGTATTATTTTATAAGACCTTAATGGAAACCTATTCGTAATAATATAATAATCTTTATAATGCCTACCATACTTTATATTATAAATTATAATATATTTTTTTTATTTAATTAAGAACTTAAAGTTATAACATACATTAGCTTATAATTCCTTAAGTATTGTAGCATCAGCTCCGAAATACAGATACTAATATGTGTATAGTATTGGCCATTATATTAATAGACTAGCATCGCCCGCGTTCAGATGACCAAAAACCAAATTCTTAGGTTTAGTATACTCTTACAATGCAGTTTTTGTATTTTTTCTCAGAAATGAGATATTTTTTCGTGGTAAAAAGTATATATTGACCCAGATAACTAGCTATCACCATACCAAATTTCATCAAAATCCTTCCAGTGGTTTTTCTGCGATGTGGTAACAGACAGACAGACAGATACAAAAATTGTAAAAACTATCGATTCGGCCTCTGTATCGATAATAATGTCTATTTCAATAAGATTTTCCAAAAAATATCAAATGCACAGATTCGGCTTAGTTACAATTTTATTATATGTATAGATGACATAAGAAATTAGCAGAAAATTCAGCAAGCATCTAAACGTTGTCCAACAAAATCTGCCCAAATCCATTTTATATTCTGCACTATTATTCGCAATTCAGAACACACAATGAAGTAATTCAATAATCTCTTTGTTCCAGGCCACAATGCTACAGAGGAGAGCGCGAGCGTGGACTTGTTTACTCGTCAAAGAATATTAAATCGTCTTCTAAAACTCAGTGGTGGTGTATTCGCCTCCTCCCACTTAAATCTGAGCATACTACATGCCACTCCAATTTCGCTAACTAGCCGTCCTGCATGATTAATAACTGGCGAATCGTGCATTCTGAGCAAAGTGATATTAAGTTGGCTTGTTAAAACTTTACTTCCCGCGCCGCACGAATGAAGTTGTATAGAATTCCTGTTAGTCTGTATCCGTTTATGGAATGACTGTGTGGTTTTATTTTATTCATACTTTGAAAACTAATACACATCTTATTATAAGTTTTGTTCGCGTTAAAATTTTCGGATTAAGAATATTTATAAGTTTGTGTTATTATAGCATTTTTAACAAATTCAAATACCTTATATCCCCGTAGGTCTTCCACGACACATGCAAGGAGAGCGTCTCTGCCAACGGTTACTGTGACATTTGGAACTGGCTCGACGAAACGAGGGAACAGCGACTCTGCATACAATAGATAATAAAATACAATAGAGTACTATTATTGTTTTATCAAATTAAAAAAGCAACGCAAATAAACTAAAACCCATTTGAGCAAAATACATATTGTTTCAAAGATATTTTTTATAAAGGAAGTTAGACTAGAATAAGACAAAGTATTGGCATTTCTTGAAATATATTTTTATTAATCTATACTAATATTATAAAAAGAAAAGATTTGTTCATTTGTACCGAATATTCTCTGAAACTGCTGAATCGATTTCGATGAAATTTGGTAAGAAGATAGTTGAGACCCTGAGAAGGACATAAGATAGAAGTTTTTACACCGGAAATCAACCCTTAAGGGAGAGAAAATGGGGTTGTAAGTTTGTATGGGGAAGCAACCAAGTAAAATATATTTTATGAATGTTGCGTAGTTCGGTTGGATTCGATATATTGAATGTAATATTATACAGAATACCATTGCATTTCTTTTTGATGTTCATTGATTGTTCAATGAGGGTATAGACCCTTTATTGCTATTGTTCACAAGCTTTTGACTACGGAATTTTACTTTAGGTATAATAACAAAAAAAAAAACATGGGAGTACATAGATCAGCACTATTGGATGTACAGAACCGATTCTTATGAAGTTTAAAGTAAAAAAGTCTCAAACAAGTGATACAAAAATATTTTAAATTATTTAATTTTTCTTGGATGATTTGAGGGCCTTCCATCAACTCTTATTGCGAAGCAATTTACGACCTAAAATCAATAATTTCAGCATTTCATTCTTGGGCTTCATAAGCTGATGTTCAGTTATGTTCGCAGCCAAAATAAAATCTAAAACGTTAGAGTTATTTATTTAATCCGCACCATGTTGATGGCATGAAATCTATTAATTCAATATTGATATTCAGTTTAAGAACCTAAACTGAACTGCTTCGAAAATGAATTGCTCTGTCATAGTTGATGGTAGGCGCTCTGATATACAGAAAAACAAAAATGCTTTGAATTGATATGCTAATGCTTATCCGGCTGCCGTTTCATTTATTATAAGTACATTATTAATATAAGTATGTTTGAAGCAAAGATTATACATAGATCATAATTAGAGGACCGTATTATATAATTTCGCAGTGTTACCAGCTACTACTACTACTACTACTAAGGAAGTATATTGTATTACGTAAGTAATTTAATAATTTAACTGAAAATAGCAAACTAGGTTTCTATCTGGTTTCTAGAGCACTGCCAAGTTCTGTATGCCGTGTGCCCCTTACACCGAGTAGTTCAGCGTTTTTAAAGTTTACGTTGCCTATTGTCGACTACAATGCCCTGTACAAATACTTAGTTATTTATTCACTTCTTTTCTTTGAAGGCACATGTACCTTGTTAATATGAAAATGTTGAGTATGTGTGTCACATAACATGGTTATAAATACAAAACTTCAAATTAAAGATTCAAATCAAGATCAATGCTATCTAACATAACGAAAATAAAACCTTCAGGTTACACCTGAATAAAGATATTTATGTAGAAAAATGATATCTAAGTCCAAAATCATATAAATAAAAAAAATCCTGAAGCGTTAGTTAAAAGACGCGCCCCTCCTTTTATAATTGAGTAAACGTCAATGCTAATGTGATACACATGTCGATATTATGAGCGATGCTCGAAGCCTGCTACAATCTATTTAGGCTAAACAACCTGAGACACGGAAAAATATCCGCGAATGATTGATGAGTGAACGCGAATAGAACAAATCCATCCAGGGCCCATCAATCTTGGAAGTACAGCCTTTCTTGTACAACGTCTCCGTCTCTAATGAAAGAAGCTCAGTACACATAAACAATCTGAAAATGTTATTTCTAATATCCAGCGTATGATAGATGGTTGGTTGGAGCCTCTATGAAATAAAGGCTCTTTCGCTCATTGTTTCAAATTTCATTGTATTTTAAAATGTATCTATTAAATTGTAGACTAAAAATTTCCAGATAATTGGATATGTATATAAATAAAAGTATTGGAGTTGTAATTTCCCACATTTTCACAGTTTCAAATCAAACAAAGTACGTTATAAACGTAGGTATACATACGTACATTGCACATATATATTAATGGAATTTACAAACCCTTGTGATGTTATCTCTAGTAAATCTTGTAAGTTAATGAGGCTGCAGTTATTTTAACTTAATTTATTTTCAAAACGTAAATGTCAGTGTTATTAGAGTGTGTTTCCCGAAATTTGGTTACTAAAAGACCAGACATATTGTGTTTCATAGTAAAGCTTTCATATAACGATTTAATAACATGATAAATTTATTTTTCAATTTAATTATTTACCAGTAATAGAGAGATTCTAAATAATATCAGTCATAGTATTTTGATCTTCTCCTTCCACTAATCTATATAGTATTAATGATAAATTATAATTTTTAGTTTCGTGAATTTTTAAATAATCGATATATTTTTTTAAACTAATAGCTATTTTTATATAAACAATAGTTGGTTGTTTATCTTATATATCATATTATAATTGTGGAAAGTAATAAAATAACATATCATTAGCATCCCAAACATTTCAACAAAAGAGTATTCATCGGATGTCTCATAGCTCCATAGTACCTACCTAACCTAGGTAGGAAATGACTTTTGAAAATCCTTTTTTTTTAACATTCAAACTTCATAAAATATTATTAACCGACTTTCAAAAAGGAGGAGGCCAGCCGACAACATTTTAAGATATAAATATCTAATAGCTAAATACGTATTTTACGTATCGAAATTTATTAGATTTGCTTTGCATTGACTGGCACCGACTTCGAAAATTTCTGATTAGGTATCTATTCTAAATGAAAACCCCCGTTCAGTTATTTTTTTCATTTTAATGCCTGGAAGTCGGTTTTTTTTTAATTTTTTTAAGGTGTATAGTTGACCAAAAAACGATATTAGTTTTTATACAATAATCCCGTAACTGCAAGAGACTAATAGGTAATGTGCTGCTTTTTATCATATTTTGTTGCATAAATTAGATACATGTAATAAATTTCTATTAACAGATATACTTTCAAGGGTACAGATAATATTTGTAACCGTAAGATTTAATTAAATTTAATGCTGACATGACATGTATGTATATATAATAAACTACACATATGTACATTATACATAATATGTAACAAAATCAGTATGATAAGTGTTTGCAAATGCACGCCCTTTGCGGTGCTCGTATTTACCTAATTGGTACTGTACAGTGTGCTGTGACAAAACTCTACGCTGTCCCCAGTAAATTAGATTCCCCGACCCGTGTGCCGCTGCCCTGAACATTCACATTGGCTTCACTTACCTCTTTTACCCAAAATTAACTACCCTTCGTCCTAATTGAAAAACGCGTCAAGGCCCCATTACCCTATTAAATTATATCCGCTTTACTGTTACTTAATATCATACACATTAAATATGTTCTGACATGTTACAACAAACATGTTATTTTAATATCAGTTTTCATAATAAATTGCTTCATTCAACATCATATTTAATTGTGTCGGTAGATGGGTTTAGGAGATAAACCCATTATTAAAAAGAGTTAAAAATTACGGGGTCACTCTTTTTCATTTTTTTTATCAGTACTCCTACGCTCTTACCTAAAATGGAATTAATTAAATAAATAAGTTCTGGGCTTTTTCATTATATTTTTTTTTGAGTTAGTTTGATTTTATTCCTCCCCCGCTGTATGTTCACCTTGTCACAGTGGGGGGACTCATTAGCGTGGGAGCCCCTTGGTTGTGTAATCTACTTTGGCAGACCTGCCGTCGGGGCGTCGTGGTTGAGTGCGTAGGTGATCCTGCGATGTACGCTCTATATCGGTTTTGAAGATTTAACTGGAATTTTTCGCAAGCACCAACGATTTTGGTCGAAGTTGACCAAATGGAATAGAAAGACCAAAAGGTTGTACGATGAAATCTAGGCCACATATCATCAAGTGTTTGTATACTAAATTATAGTTTATGTTCAGAGTGCCAGCAGGTCAGTGGTACTAAATCTATTAAAAATACTGTCATAATTCTGAATATATGAATCTTATTGCCCATCTGTCTTATTTTTGATATATTGCTCTTCCATATTCACCTTATTTAGGGTTTCTGTATGAAGAAATTATTAAAAATGAACTTAAACTAAATTTATAAGAATTTGGCCCTCTTCCTTTCTGCAAGCAAAGTAATGCTGGATGATGTACGACTCATTTACTCCCTTTTCATTGAAATTTTTCATTACAGATTTGAAATTTTGTAGCGATATTGATATAGAGAGCCCATCAAACATCTTCATACACAGCTTTATTTTCTGCATTCCAGTAGTTGTACTTATACATATAATCTTTATTAGGAATATGCTGTTTACCTTAAATATGAGGTTAATATACTCTGCACGTGTGGTATATCTCATACTTACACAATGGATATCTCAAATATATTGTTCACGAAGTCTTATTAATGAGAAATCCTACGCCACCTTGGAATGGAAACTGGATAGTCCTCTGAAGTGAAAACAGTGGTCTGATTTAAGTCAGTGTTCTTTTCCCTGTCTTTCAACTTTATTTAAGCCTTAAAATTGCCATTATCACTTTCTTCAGTTCTGTTAAATACTCGTGAATTCTTGGAGTACATCTTCACTCTACTTGTAGATCGTCACATTGGTATGTAAATGAGCAGGTATTACCGAATGTTGACGTTTTAAGTCAAATAACATAGGTTGACTTCCTTATACATAAAGTGAGGTAAAAATTATGATATGAAGTGAAGTGAAAATAAGGAATACTATAAATGAGGAACATGACTATAAATGTATACATTTCGTGCAATATGTCTTGCGTATATACTATGATTTACCTACATAATATTATATTCATACCGTGATTGTACCATGTGCATGATTCTTATAAATATAAAATTCAAATAACGCCCGCCATACTTTTTTTGATTAAATATTATTGTTATTGTAGAAACAAACAATGCACTT